GTTTCACCTGTGAGCTATTGTGGCTGTCTCTCTTTAAAAGAGCTCTTTCAAAGCTCTGAAAAGTAGTGGAAGGGAAAAAATACTCCTGGAAAAGCCCTTCTTTCATGACAGTCAGGGTGCAGACTTGTAGTCCAGAAAAACGGCTATCAGATCGAACATTAAAAAAAATGCTGTTTACATTTTAAACATAAATTAAACCTCCCAAGGATCGTTCTAAAAAATATGCACACATCCTCCGCAAATACATAGTTTTGTTTGCAGTTATTTATCATTGCGTCACATAATGTTAGAACTGAAAGAAAATTATCTACTAAATTTCACATTATGTATGTATGTTTTACAAATATCGTATTGTAAGTCACATTCATTATTAGTGACGCTATCTTATGACCAACATTTGTGGGTTACTGTCAACAAAATAAGGGAACATCACTATAATTCGTAAAGCAAAATCTTCTGCTGAAACCCAAGACTAATTTATCTATGAGCTGCGCTATTGTTTTCTGTAGTGCAAACTTTTATAATTTCTGTTTGAAATCAGTGAAACCTTTTCGAATTGAGACCTAACTATAACTAAGATTCTTATTAGATGCACCCTACACAAATTGATCTGTTTTTGTTACTCTCTTATACAAGTAAGGAAGAAAAGTCCGTATGAAGAAACACTTTTTCAACCACTAGACTTAATTTTCTTAAACTGTGTTTTTGGCTGTGGATTCAGAAGTACAATTAATTTTTCTTCATAGAAATGCTGGTAATCTGTGACAATAATTGCTTTTGTAATGCTGGTAATCTTTGACATAGGATATATCCGAGACTTACTGCAGCTCAAATGCTAGGAAAAAGTTAATTGCACTTTTTAACTTTCTTGTTTCTACACGTATAGCTCATTTATTACACTGCACAGTATGGAGATCATTATTTTGGCAATTAAGAAATATCTCGTGCAAGATTTCCATCATAAACCTGTTTCAGAACATCATTACACAGCATCTAGCAACAATTCCCTAACATGGATTAATTCCGGTATTCTTTATAGAGTTCTACAGCTATTTCTTTTCTCAAATCTTCATCACGAAAGTTATCTCGATCACCTAATGAACTCAATCTTTAGCCTGATCATTGAAAGAGCATTCAAAATGCATTAAGTAAATGGTTTTCAAACTTCTTTTAACGCTGCGTCGTTGTAATTTAACTGCGAAAGAGCCACACACGAAGGGAATTTGTTTGTATGTTTTTTACATCTATGATCCATGGTTGTTGTATCAGAATTTCACAAAAAAAATTTTGCAAAAAAAAGAAAAAGAAAAAGAATTGAAAATACAACTGTGTGTATGTGGGGGGAGGGGAGAAATTGATTTTCTTAAACATAAATAGCAACTTATGTGAAATAATAATAGCAAATAAAATAATTATCTTTAAAATACTAAGCGAAAATTAAATGATAATAGTTGCACATAAGTAAGAGAGAAGTAAAATTAAACTGATCGGAAAACGCTTTGCAATTTAAACAAAGTCATAAAAATTAACAAATACAATTTGCTAGTCTGTGTACCAGAAGTGTGCTTTCCCTCAGTGTTACAAGTCGCAGATATAACCCTAGGTTTGAAACCAGCATATCAATGTCCAAGGAAATTTGTATGCTTTTTTTTCTGTAACAGTTTTTGATTGTTGACTAGAGATAGCCTAATATGGGAAATATATGTATCGCTGAAGTCCAGTGTCCATTTTAAGGAGGGGCAGAGCAAGAACAATGGTAAAAATATATTTTTTGGCTCTAGGACCTTAAGATTTCAAAACTGGGAACATTATAAATCAAAATTGGAGTGAAATTTCACAATCGTACTGCCAACACTAGTTTCCAAAGTCAACGATAATTATTAATGTATCCATGGGTTATTTTATTCATGGGTCCAACTATAGTCAAGGTCACAGTATAAACGGGAAACACATTTCATAATATTTAGTGAAAGGTATGTCCTTATATGTGATTTTTTCTTATATAAATCGTAAAAAATATTGAGGATGCAGAGAGATAGATGATGTGCTTGAAAGTATCACACCTTAGCATGGCATGACGTAGGAAAAAAATATATACATTAATTTTCTTTTCAAATAAATTGTAAGGAAGAAGTAACTAAATAACTTTAATTTCCAGCTTAAATATTAAGCCACTCATATAGTAAGATGAATATGATTTTCAGAAGGACATCTGAAAGGGGAAATAGAACATTGTTTCATATTCTTGTCAGTATGATATTCTCACTTCTCTTTTTCTCTTCAGAAAGTATCACTACAAACTCCGCATGCCTATAGAACCAATATTTATGCGCGACAAGAAAATTAAATTTAAATTATTGTCTTTAGCACTATGGCGTATGGCCCTGAAGGCAGCAGTTCAAATTTAATTATGTAAAGCTGGTCGCTGATTGGGTTATCGCTAGAGTAACATTAAATGGCCGCTGGCTGGCATCTGGTATACAACGCTTTAATTAAACAGCCAGCCAACCAACTACATATTAACAGATGCTGGAAAGAGGCACCTAACTTGCGAATTTGATGGGCGCCAAAACTTTTGAGGGGTTCGTTTTCAAGATGCAACACATTTCGAAGACTGCATATCAGTCAACATCATTTATATCACAAAATGTCTTAATTGTTTCCATATGAAACAAACAAGATGCTCAAGAACGATGTTAATGGACTTTATGCCTTTCAATACTGGTCCTTTACTTTTATTTTCGACAAGAGCATTTCTCAGAAATGAAGTAGAGAACTTTTTAAAGGGTTTCGATGCTCTGTGTGGTTGTAAAAAGGGAATTAGTAAATAAATAAAAAAATTAAATGTAAGAAAACAAAATTTTTATATGTTTTCTGTAGGATTAAAAATCCAATTAATGAAATATTAATTACAATTATACGCCATACATATGCTTAAGTTTTAAGAAATGTGAATGTGTGTTTCTATATTTCTTTTTTGAACATAAAAAATATGTAAATTAAAGATTGTTATTAAAAAAGCACATTAATGTTTAAATAAAATTAAGGGGGAAGAAAGAAAGATATCAATCTTGACGCTAAAAACAAATTTTAATATGATAAAAAAATTATGTTCTTGATGCTGACCACAGTATACAGGGGTAAAAAGGGAGTGTTAGAGAAATAAAAAAATGTTTTATAGCGAAAATTATAATTATCGTTGAAAGCATCTTGGGATAAGTATACAAATATTATTAAATACATTTCAAAGTATTAATAAAAATTTTATAATCTTTTTAAATGCTCTTTTGTTTTACACTGATAAGCATTTTTCTGTTATAACAAAATAGGTAAATGAAAGCTATTGCGTAGGCATGGATGACCACTTAGAACCAGACGAGCCGATACTTACGGATGCCTAGAACAAGCCAGGTCATCTTGTAGTTGTTTAACTAAGTCCCGTAATTCCAATAATTTAAAGTTATTAATGTTTAGTTGCTGATATAGTTAATCACATTGAAAATTAGACATGAAGTTAATAAAAACTATTTCTTTATATGTATAAATGAAAAAATATTTAACATCGAGAAAGCTGAAAATTTGTACTATCTTTTCTTTATGAATGCTAGAAAAAGTGGAAGTTAGAAAAGTGGGAGTTAAGGCCCTTGGAAAATATTGTGCCTAGTATCTCAGGTTGCTGTAATCGGACATTAATGTCACCCTATGTGGACTGGCAATATGTTTTTAAAGGACAGGATTTCTTTCAAAAGATTACAAATAATAATAATAATAATAATAATAATAATAATAATAATAATAATAAATAGAAAAAATAAAAGCTTTCAGATTTTATATTAAATTATATTTTATATTATAGTTATATTCAAGGAGAGAGGTTTTTTTTTTCCCCATTTACTTACACACGTACACGTTTCAAGAGCATTTAATCTCTTTAGTGTTCTTTTGGGCTTAAAATGTTTAAAAACAGCCTATCGTTAGAATTTCGATAGACAGTATCGCGCGCTGGAGCCAAAAATGTTTTTTCCCGTACAGTGTTGCCATTGCTCAAAAATTCGGTAAAGTTTTTCAAAATATGAAATAGATAACAATAATAAAAAAATCTGAAACCTTTTACATTTTATATTACGCTCAAAGGGTCGTTTTTTTCAATTACACACACATACACGTTTCGAGATCATTTGGGCTAATGTCCCTTTGCACTAAAAATATTTATAAACAGCACATCCTTTAGAATATCTGTTAGGCAGTCTCGCGCGATGGAGATAAAAATATTTTATTCCCTACATTGTTGCCATTGCTCGCTTTGAAATCGTTGAGTTTGTTTATCAAAAATTTGTTAAAGTTTTACAAAATATGAAATACACAATAAATCAAATTCGAAATTCGAAATTCATTCTTCCGATGTGTCCATTTTTGGGCGGACGACAACGTTATTCAAAATTTCACGGCTCTAGGTACCGTTGTTTTTTCACAGTACGAAAAACATGCATTCATTCATGCAAATTCTTCATTATTTAATTTCTTTAAATATAACAGAGAGATAATATTCGGTGGCAACACTTTGAACAGTTATTCAGACTTTTATAGTGATTCAACGCAAAATCCCGTTTAGAGACTAATAGCGCTTTTGGGCTAACGCTGCTTTGGGCTAAAAATATTGCTAAAAAATTCTTTTGCAACAGATTAATAAAATAATAATTAATAATGAAAGTATTTAAAGATATTCATTAAAATGTATAATTATTTATTACATCTGTATTTTCCATTCATGCAACAAGAAACAGCTCCTGTTCACAATTATTTCATTGATTCGCACTGCAAAGAAAAGCCACCTATTCCAAACATTTCACTGAACCTGTTTATTACGAATACAATAGAATTCCACTTTTCAGCGCAATTTGTTGCATATCTACCATTCCCGGGGATTGACCTATAACTGGTTTGCCAGCTATCGCTGGCGCAACAGTGCAAACCGTCCTCTCGTCTCTCATCGGGGCAGTTGAGACAGTTGCAGAAGAAGAACTTGTCCCCCCGGGGCGGAAGCGATTAGGACTCCCACCGCTTTCCCTTTCGGACTTGCGGGGGAAGGTCAGCCCGAATGTTCTATTCCAAAGCGGGCCTCTCGTCAGTCTCCACCTGTCCGCCACACCTGCCGTTTGGATTACCTGCCGCTCCGGTAAGTTGGGCATTTTCTTTCCCTCTCTTTTGCTCTGCAACTGTAACCGCCGCCCCAAAGTGTGTGAGATCAGCTGATTCATCAAGATGCGCCACAGCGCAAGAAATGATTAGTTTTATAGATACATTATTTATGTAGTGGTTTATAAAGATCAACTGTTTACCAACCTGTATTAATACTTGGGAACATTTGTTTACGATAATACCAATAAAACAATTGAGTTAACGCTTACAATTTGAAAATTTATTTCATTTAAATTAAATGATTTTTTTTTATAATTCAAAAAATTAGTTAATTATCTCGAAATTTAAACAAATTAATTTATCTAAACTAATTTTTTTTTAATTTTAAAATAAATTTTCTTTAAATTATTTTTTTATTCTAAAATATAATTTTAACGAATTTTAATATATAACTAATATCTGTTAAATTATTTCAATGACTTTAAATATGAAAAAGAATTAACTTAAAGGAATTTTCTAATATTTTATTGCAATAATTCGAAAAAAGTTATTTAAATCAAATATTTTTTTGGACTTTGTGTAACAAATCATTCAATCCAATTACAGCCTGAATGAAATTGATTTTTTTCAATAATTTTTTTCGTCGATGTAGTAGGTCGATGTAGTTTCGAAATGTAGTAGGCTACTATTTATTATTTATCGTAAACACAAGGTTTTGGTCATTTCTAATTTCTCTTAATTATCTTGATGTAGAAACTACATAAATTAAAGAAATTATTTTGAGAATTGAAAATAATTACCTGATAATTATTTAATTGATAACTTAATAAATTTTTCTTTAATTTAAAACAAATTTATTTTTTTCACTGAATTTTGTTATAATCTATTAAATTATTTTTTAATATATTTTTAAAAAATTCCGTAAATTAAAAAATTTTTCAGAAATATTAAAAAATCACTTCATTTTAATTAGGACCTAGTTAATTTAAGAGTGAATCTGTACAAATTTAATACGGATTACTAAAATCACAAGCTCCTAATGAGAAATAAGACACGTTATCTTACGCATACTCTTTTCTCCCTCTCAAATACAATAATCTCCGCCTTTATATATATTTTTAACCTCATAATAATTATACTTAACTAAAATAATATCCAATCCCTTTGTGCAAGACAATGATAAGTAGGAACCTTCTCAGCGTTTCTACTTATTAGTAGTTCCTACTTACTACTTGAATGTTCACTTCTTCGGTGTGTGAAGATCGAAGCTATTCATTTCATTTCTAAAGCAGCACTACGACCGGTTGCAGTCGATCTAAATGTGCATAGTATTTAAACCGTGATTTACATTCTTAACTACTAAAACCGCCTTTTTGTTTTAAATAAATTACATTTCTCTTGTCTAACAATTATTAATACGCGTAGTACTGAGCTGCAAATAAAACTGACGAGTAGTCTGCTGCTAAAAGTGTTAACATTTTTATACACTTTTACGTAACAATAATGTATAAATATGGCCGGAAGATTTTGTAGTATACTAATTTAAACTTAAAATATTTAATTCTAAACTTGAAAATATCTGTAAATATTTTAAAGGCATTTAAAAAACAAAATAAAAAGGGCTATTAATTTCGAAATGGAACTAGCGTCGAATCACTATAAACGGCTATATAACTTTTCAAATTGATGCCACGAAATATAAGCGTCCTGCATTATTTTTAAAGAAATTAAATAATGAAGAATCTGCATGTATGTATGCCCCTCGCATAGTAAAAAAACGGCGATACCTAGAGCAGTGAAATTTTGAATAACGTATTCCTCCACCCAAACATGTGCACCTGAAAGACCGAATTTTGAATTTCCAATTTGTTTTATCACTTTTTATTTCATATTTGTTTAAATATTAATGAATTTTTGATAAACGAACTCAAATTTTTGAAAATGAGTAGTGGCTGCACTACTCGAAATAAAACATTAATATCTCCATCTCGCGAGAATATTGTCATTCGGAGAGCTGTAAAATACTTACTTTCAATCTTAACTAACAAACTCGTTAATGTGCAGTGAAAAGCACTTTGTGGCCGCGAGCCATTCATTAAAACATAAGCTATTTTCAAATTTAATCTGGAATTTTAAAGTCATTAAAATCACTGCATATGTTTTCTTTTTTATGCTAATTAATTTATGCGGCTGGCAGCCCAAGCGGCTATTTTGAAAAAATAATATAGCGAATATAAAAATACATATGCTATCGAGAGCTATATGCTGTTTTAATATTTTGTGATTATGCTGTTGAAGTGAATTTTATGTGGCGTAAGTGCGAAAAATGTAATATTTAATTAACCCCCAAAAATTAATTATAAAAAACAAAAATAAAGTTTTGTAAGCCATCTTGCTAAGAAAACTGAATGCTGATATGAGAAACTCAAAAAAATAGAAAAACGTATACCAACACTGAACTTTGTACCGGGAGTTCTAAACACATGCTGGCATGGTGCTTTTAAAAATTTTGTGATTTTGCTGTTGATGTATATAGCCTAAGTGCAAGTAAAATGATGCTTAATAATGAAGTTAAAAACACTGAAGAAAAGAGTTTGCAAGAGCGAGTGCATAAACAGACAGCTAAACCGCGAGCTCAAGGAAAGCACAGAAAAACCTTAACAAACCCTTTAGGGAACCGTTAAAATCTGAACGCTTTAAGATTTGGGGGAGGAGGGGACAAGAATTTTATGCTTTTAAATCGAAATTAGGCGCAGAAGAAGGGATAGCCTAAACTTATCGAAGCGGCTACGGTTTGGTTTGGTTTATTTAATTGTGGCAAAGCACTGGAGGGCTATCTGCCTAAGGGAAGGGAGGCCATTGTTGAAAACTTTCTGAGGAGAACTGGCTCGTATACAAGTTACACATTGCGAAACTACGAAAACGCGGACCACCAACGGCCGAGCGGTAAAGTCGCTGAACACTGGTAGTTCGGTCCGAGGTTCGAATCCCGCGAACGGGCTGGCTGCATGGGCGTTTTCGTGGTTTTCCCCACGTGTAACGTGTATACGAACCAGTTTCCCTTAGTCCTCCACGAAGGCATCCCTCCCCTTAGACAGATAGCCCTCGTGTGCTTTGCCATAATTAAATACACAATACACAACTATACCACGAAAATGCCCATTCAGGTAGCCCTTTCACCGGGATTCGAACCTCGAACTGAATTACCGGTGGTCAGCGACTTTGCCGCTGCAAAGCGGCTACGACCGTGTTTTCTATCTGTTACATAAATTACCTATGGCGGCATTTCTCAACATTACTAAACGGAATGTTGCTTATCTGAATTTACTATTACGTTAAATAATTGGATTGTTACTTGCGCTTATTCTCATGCTTATTTTGTTTTAACAGCAAAAACTTTGTGAGATGTTTTGATAAGTTACGAACTGCACTGAGAACTTGTTTTCAGCGCTTTTCAATAACATTTACTAGAATACTTTTCTTTCCTTTTTTTTACATTCATCAGGAAGCTCTGAGACTTAGGTTGATTGAAAATATGAAAGAAAACACATAATTATTGCTATATGCGATTGTTTTATATGCTTCTCACATTTCTGAAATAATTAATTTCAATACATTCATTTTTCAGAATGTACCATTATTTCAATGCGTTTTTAGAGCGAGAAAGAGAGGAGGAAAAATGAAAGTATTTTAGTTTTTTGCCTTGAATTTTCTAGATAATGAGCAGGATAAGAATGCTTATTCTTCCATTACTAAAATATTGTTTTGGGAAACAGGTAATCTTTATGACTTTCCTTTCAATTGATATCTTGCAAAGACGCACTTTTTGTTTTTCCACAAGAAATGTTGAACGAAATATTTTAATCGGGGAAAAAGCGAAGAAACTCACTTTAAAGCGAACAATGGGAAAAAAATTTGTTCACCTTATCGGTCAATTTATATATGAAAGGCAAATGAACTTTGAGAATCAGAAAAGTCAGAATAAATAATAATTTTTTACTTAGAGTTAAAAGAATGATAATACGTTTGGTGAAGAAATATTAAGGCAAATTATATAGTATATCTTAAGTTTATAATAAGAATTAAAATAAAATTTATTATTTATTCGTTTATTTATAATATTGCAATACCATTTTAAAACTGTCTGATTAATCAATTAATTGGAAAATGTTTATATGTTTGCGCTGTCCCATGCATTTCAACTTGTATTGTTTATAATGTTATAAAATGAATTTATAAAATACGCACACAAGTAAAAAACGTAATTACACTTTCAGTGAGTTTTGGGTATTATTCTTTATAAGATTATAAAATGATTATTTAAAATGATAAAAAAATAGAAATAAGCAGTTATGGTTAATGCAATTATCTTTTTTCATAAATTCGTTGTACTTGTTTCTCAGGAGTGGGTTATAGCCGAAAACGTCGGAGGACTGGGTTTAACAGAAAACTGAATTGAGAACTTATAATCAGCGCTTTGCAATAACATTTACTAGATTACTTTTCTTGCCTTATTCCGTTTACCAGAAAACTATCACCGCGGACGAAAACTTCGCGGAGAAAACAACACAAGGCGAAAACATCCGCAGTAAACAAACATCTTGGGAAAAAGAAAACAAAGAGAAAACATCGTGGTCGAAAATAAAACGGTCTAAACCTTCGCAATTTAAAAACATCGTCGACGAAAATATAGTGGTAAAAAATAAAATACCTATAAATCATCGCATGACGATAACATCGCACGCATGCGTTTTTCAGGTTTTAAAAGTTGTAAATGCATATTTGCATAATGATTTGGGAGAGCAAGAAGGAAAGAGGGATATTTTTTCGACCCCGATGTTTTAGAACTGCGATGTTTTATTTTTTCCCACGATGTTTTGTACCATGACGTTTTCGCCTTGCGTTGTTTTCTCCACGACGTTTTCGTCCGCGATGTTTTTGCCATGATGTTTTCGGCGGACACAGAGGACTGATGTGTTGCAATTTTATTCGCGTGTTTCCAAATTTATTTATTTTTTATAAAGAAACCATTGCGTG